CATTACTGCCTGATTAGCGTTCCCTAGGTATTAGGGTACCCTTGCACGGACAATTGAACTGCCCTGTAATGACTGTGAGATTAAGAGCTTTGACTTGCTCTCCTTTAAGTACAAAAGCACCACATAAGATACAGCTCATTGACATCACATATCTGAAGAGTGTTGCTCAAAATCAAATAAGAAGACCACAGCATGAGACAATGCAAACCAAGTTCAGGCTTGAATCTGTTTTGGGGATTTCTCTATAAATGCTTCTATGTTCCTTCCTGTTTTTTTCCCATACGAAGTGATTCAGAGGAATGTCGATTGTGGTAATTATCCAGCATGCTCTACTTTTTCAGATCACAACTATGAGCTGCCTGCACTGATCTGCGGTTGGACAGCTTTTGATTCCAGGGAAGAGACCACAACATATTATTTATCTGTGCATTATGGGAAAATAAAGCATTTACATATTTCAAATGGGAGTTTTTTTATATTGTGGAATTCAAATAAGACTGAAACAACAATATTCCTCAGTGGATAACACTTACTTTTAAACCTGGAACACTTATAGTGGAACTGATTCCGAGAAGAAAGGAAAATGACTTTAATAAGCTGCAGAGAAGTCCCTGAGCAGGCGCTAATTAGCACTCCAGGCACTACAGCTCAGCACCATGAGAAAGACTTGGAGAGAAACATCATGCTTTTCTCGTGCACAAATAACCATTTCTGGGTGAAAGGGGTATTAACTCCAAAATAAACAACAGATCAGTGTACGTTAAAGAGCAGTGGATGACAAAAAAGAAAGGAAAAATGTATAGACAATCTGCATTAACTACTGTAAATGAGTCCTGTTACACATGCTGATGATTAAAGAAACCACATATTCCCAGAAATCGTGAATTATGATTTTTACAAAATACCAGCTCTTGCTATTTTTAATATAGATACATCAAAAATCTGTTTTACATACACTGCGGCAAAAAAGGAAAGTGCTGAGGTCATTGCATATTTATTCAGAAGAGATATCTCAGATTCCATGTAATAACACTGTGAAATAGAAGTATTTATAAATCGGAGACATGGATGTAAGCACAGCAAGTGTAAGAAATGAAACACACTGTTGAAACACACAATTCAATGACCCAGAACAATGCAAATGGGTATTATGTGATGACATTATGATCTTAACAGACAGTAATACTGTTTATCTTGTAGCATATGTGCAAAAGGAGAACAACAGATTATCTTCAATCAATACAAAGTACAGTACAACTTTCAAAGCTTATATATACTGTATATATTTCCAAACTACATTTGGAAGGCCAATTTCTGTCTGAGGATTTATTCTCTATTAAATGCATCACACATTCTTGTTCCAACCATCAAGCTTGTTTAGAAGTTAATAGAGGCACAATGTATTAACTCTTCAGAGGGGGCTGCCATCTGGGGCTGCACTGAGCTCTTTGGTCCCTGACCGCTTGGGAGATTGACAGAAGGATTCCACTTCGTCACATCAGCACACATTCAGGCACAGAGGACAGCTCACTCTCTGGCAGCCAGCAGACAGGAAGAGACTCACAGGCACAATCCCACAAACCTGCATTCGCTCATCGAGCAGAGCTGACACCCACAGTGCACCTCTTCACAGGACGAAACTGGCCTGGCCTGCTCTGCTGACAGCTGATAGTTTGTTGTAGGAGGCTGCTAACAGTAAAAACAAAAAAGAGTGCTGTGCGTACACACAGATACACAAACCCAGTTACAGACACACACATTAACGTGCAGAGAGTGCCACACACACGCACCCAGTGTTCCTTCATGTTGTTTTTTTTCCCATATAAAGTGATTCAGAGGAATGTCGACACAATTGGCCTCTACACTCTCTTTTGCTTTCGAAACTGTTGGAGAGTGATTCTGTGTCCTCTTTTCCCCTGATATTGAAGAGCAAAGCCTCTTCATTGGTGCAGATTAGATGTTTCCAACAACTGGTGCAATGATCCAAAATGCAAAATAGGGCAGGTTAAACAGACACTGGTGTTTTTATTTTATTTTATCCAAAACAAGCCCTTGTTTCTGCACACAAGAACAATAACACAAAATAAAATAGTGGCTAAGTAATATACTGAGGTGTTTAGGAGAAGCTCTGTGACAAAGCCAGTTTGTTTCATGATATAAAGGTTACATGGGAAGCTAGGACTACCCTGCAAGGCCAGGGTTTCGCACAACCAAGACCACTGCAACAAGCCAGACATGAGTGGGAGTGGCAAATAATCGCTCAATTTCCCCTCACTTGCAACCTCTCTCAAGGACAACAGAGGAAAACACACCGCAGCGCACTCAGCTTATGCTGCTCAGCAACGTATGGCCAGAAAAAAAAAAGATGGAGTTTATTTATTTAAAATGAAAGACAGAAGAAAAGAGTTTGAGTTGTTTATCCTTCACTTCTCCACAAGCAGTACAAGTGCTCTCCTGACAGAGCAGTCAGCCTCCTTCACTGAAGAACCCAGCCTGCTTTGTTTCCCCCAGTGCCTCAGTGCTGTCAACAGTGCTGCCAGCAGCACTGTCTCAGACACCCTGGGAGGGTGGAGAGAGGGGGATCTCCACCCGCCGGTGGGAGAGACAACTGGCCATCCAGGTGCAGGGACAGTGGAGTTGAGTACTAACTGGGTTTAGCATGTGTCTCCATACTCTCAGGGAAAATAAAAACTTAAAGAGTCAAAACAGGTTTATAATGTTGACCAAAAGAAATTAAGGTCTGAACCAAACATTTAACTGTTGGAGTGATGACTGGTTAGACTCCAGGGTTTTATTTACAGTCATAATAAATAAATGCCTCCCACACATGGTTCCTAGGTTAAATCAAGATGTTTTTATCTGCCAGTTACGTTTTATAAGACCATATTGATGTTGGACTCCCACTGGGTAGAAACAAGAAGCCTGTGGTGAACAGAGAGTTGCCATTAAACAGTTTCTAAACTGGGGATTGGTGTGCAGCCTGAAATTTCAAGGTAATCTGGGACCCTGTGGTGTAGTGTAGTGATCCTACAATACTTTCACATGCAGCCACAGTATCAATGTGTTTCCTGTATGTGTGTCCAAGTGTGTTCTAATAGACAGCACAGACACGCTACAGGAGGTTACCATGTCCATGTCCACTGTGTGTTCTGTTTGGTTTTGCTGCCTCGGCATCACAGCTGCTCATTAAAGCTTGTCAAGCCTCTGTGATCTGTGATCATTCTTGACAGAACTTCATCTTTATCTGAGATTTTCTGCCTTTGGGTCTCTGTGCGTTAGGACTGGTCTAGAATGGACCAAGGGGTCTACTCATTCCTGTTACTGGAGGTGGCCGAGAGGGGAGAGCCAGAGAGAAGGAAGACATGCTAAATATTTAGAAAGGCTGAGCAGCTATGTTCCTGGTTCTGCTTGTGCAGGGGAATCCTATTTTTAATGCACATTAACAAATACCACAAGCATCCTGCATGAATCTTTTATGACCTCTGGGTAACAACAACACAAAGCAACAGCAACAGAAAAATGGAGTGGTGGCTGAAGCTGAACTCCATAACAGACAGAAACAGCTGCTCGCAATTCTGCACTGTTAGATCCCACAGCCTCCCAGACCGAGCGCAGGAGCTGCACTCTGAACTCTCTCTTGGGCAGGATGCTGCAGACTGTGACCCATACCTCCCAGGAGACTGGGAAGCAAAGACACCCTGCGCGCACGCTGTCTGTGCTGCAGTTACTCACAGGGTGTGTGGTTCAGAAAGGGAACAGTTCGCAGGGGTAGAAAATGCTTTCATTGTTGTAATTAATGCGTAAGCACAGTAGGTCTAATTAGTGCACCTGTTTCCTGAACACTTTGTGACTTTACATCAGGAAGAAGAATTCCAAATTACGTTTATCTTTATTTTAAGCAGGACAGCCTGTCGAGACTGAAGTCTCTAGTTCAAAGGAGCTCTGGGACTGGTGGAAGAGCAGGTATTAGGCATTGACCCTCATTAAAATGGGGAGACTTTAGGTAGGTCAGATTTTATTATGCGTATGGTTGTGTTCATACTCCCTACTGTCTCTCTGAGATCCCGACTCTCATCTGGACAGACCATCTAATCAGAAACATGTTCCCTGGATAAATGTATTCACAGGCCAGTCTGAGATATCCTTTAAGGAAGAATGTACTTATATGAACTGTAGTGTGATACATGACAAATGACAAAGGCAATAAAAAAAGAAGACAGCAAACTGATTTTACTTTTTCAACTGTGTTCCTTCCACAATATGGTCATTTTATGTCTCCTGTCAATAACCCTGTGTTGTCACCCCAGCTGTGAGTACCCCTCTTCTGGCAGCATTCTTTCACAGGTATTTAGTGATCCTAAACACAGCTGTGATGTACTGGGGTCTGCATCACGGCCCCTTTACACTCAGTATCCAGTCCTAAAGACACGGCCTTGCCCCCTCTGTCTGTGCTGGTGTGCACAAGGAGGACCTGCTGTGTGGCGCATGGCATGGGGTGGCAGAGACAGCGTTCTCCATGAGCAGCGACGGACGCCAACCTCTGGCCCTTGCCACACATGACCCCCTCCGCCAGGGGACAGAGCACAGCTGGCTTTGCATTCCAGCTCAGTGCTGTGCGCCAGGAGTTCTCACTGTTACTGCACAGCCCCTTAGCATGTCCCTACTGAGCTTATCTCTTCTTGTTTATAATTAAAGAACAGCATTTCCTAAGTAAAAAAAAACTATATTCAATACAGAATTTGGGGGAATCAGAGAACTAAGGTCTGTAATGACATTGAACACCACTTATTCTAAAATCATTCTGCAGATTAAAGAGCAAAGTCTTAATTTATACCTTTGCTAACATTACTTTTTGACACTGGAAAATATATATATTAACAAACAAGACAAAGACAAACAATAAGGAAACAGCAGCTCGGAAATGTACTGTATGATAAGGGGTTCAGATTATTGCAGCCACAGCTCCCATAGGCGCAGCTGATAGAGGAGAGAGATGAGGGGACAAATTGGTGATGTGGTATCTAAGCTGGTCTCACATATCTTAGAAACCCTGGAAAAGGGATAGTTCGCTCTTAATGTTTCCATCGAAAGTGAGATCTCACAGCCTTCATACTGCTGACAGCTTGGCACAAAGGTTAATATCAGATACTGAGAGTGACACATGAAAGCTGCGCGCTACATCGCATCCCAGAGTGAATATGAGGAACTTCTTCTGAATACAGATAGCTCGCTTGGCATCAGAGTCCGGGCTCATGGGTGAGCGGGGCTGTGTTGTCTTATCTCCTGCCGTCAGTCGACCGCGGCAACTCTAGCAGGTACCACTGCTGCCCTCACCCAGACCCCCAGACCCCAGGCAGAGAGACGGGGAGATACCATCTGCTTCTGCTACGATGAATACAGCTGAACTGTGTTCTCCTCCCCTGGAATTCAGTGCAGCTGAAGGGAGAAAAACATTAAGAGTCTGAATCCTCTCGGAGGATTCAACTTTTTGGATTTTCCACGGCAGATAGCAGAAGAGGAATCCTCAACGTTTTCTTTGCATTTCTTCTTCCAATTCAACCAGTAAAATGGTACTTCAGGTGGTCAAGTGGGTCAGACTTAAGCAGACAAATTCTCGAGCAGCGCTGGGCCGCAGGCTGGGCTTTGCTTTGAGCTGCTCTCCTGAGAGCTGTGGCCAGGAAACACGCAGGGAAACGGAGGACAGAAGGTGTCACGACTGCCCTTCGCAATTCTGTAACCCCCATTCAGAAAGGAAACAGAAAAGCTGCTCTGTAAAGTGCAGAGGGTTCCACAGTTCCCTCCGCTACTCATTATATACTACCTACTAATGATTTTTGCAAGCCAGGGAATAGCACTATCTTTCACAAACACGGGCCAGGCTCCTTGTACAGCTGGAGATAATACTGAAACCTCTGTTTCAGACAGTGCCGGGCAGCTTAGCTGAGGTGAGGAACAAAAGGCCAGCTACACTCAGGCCAGAAAGGTATTAGACACTCTCCCCAGGATCCAGGGATGTGAGCGCACTGCTGCTGGCTCATCGTACACACCGAACCCTGCACCGCCACCTTCCTTCAGAAACAGGCAGGAAGGGCGCAGCAGCGTGAAACGTCTTCAAGACCAATTCTGGTCTGGCCCGGTCATCTCAGAGAGAAGGCTCTTATCTTCCTGCAGCAGGCAGCTAGTAATGCCATGAAGACGAGACTTGAGCCTCAATCTCAAAGTGTAACTGCTTGGAATCTCTGAGACATCCCTCCACACAGGGGCTCTGGATTCCAGTGTGAAATTGGAGGCACCTTCAGTGCATTATTTACTGCTTTAATGATTTTGTTGAATATGAGCAAATAGGCTTCTAGGGTCTAAATAATTGCTATCTGTAATGTTTCTAAACTCCTTTTTAAAAAAATACATTTTGTTTCTTTTGTTTGCATTGCAGGAAAGCATGCTTCACTCCACATTGGGCAGAAATTATTCCTCACCTGGCTCCAGAGATTCCACCTGATAGTGTCTTGTTTTAAATACATGCTAATTATGCTAATTTGTGTTCTGTAATGAGCGTCCTGATGGCCATGCCAAACACTGTCCAATTAAATCCTCTGTCTGTTCAGATATCTGGGGGTTTTGATGGCTGCTGAGGCCATGCTGATATCCTGTATTTAGGATAATTGGTTAATTAAGGGGAAAAACAATTTCCCACAGAATTGGATAAGTGCATCACTGTTAAAACCCATTTGTCTTTTGGCAACTGTTGGCTGAACATGCTTAAATATCAGAGTGGCTGTTGTTTCCTATTTCAATTTCACAGTAACAGCATTGTGCTGCCTTCAAAGGAAAGCACTGTACTTTCAAATTGTGAGAAAGAATATCAACACCACTTGCTTTACTGGTGAGATTTTCAAAACATTACCCTTATGTAAAATACCAATTTATATTATTTGTGTTTTCCAGCTAGGAGATATATGACAGAAATATTACAGAGGCGGCATTATTCTATCAAAACAATGCCCACGGCTTCTAGAATCCACAGTCCAGGTGGCTCCAGTTTCTGAGTCAGGGGTGAATGACCTCAATCATTCCTGTGAAAGACTGCGATCCAAACTGTCCTTGTGCGCTCCCAGCTGATCACAGGGGTATAAAATTGATCTCATTGCAAAAGGTCATTGAAATTATTACGAATTAGCCAGAACAGAGACTTACAATCCAAATGGAATGAATGTGTCTCCCACTGGATCTGAGTACACAGACTCTGGGTGGTAAAATATCCAGGTCTTCCCTCTGTTCCATCACAACAAAGTCCTGGATCTTTCCACAGTCTGGAAAAAAGGCAAATAAAATGTTAGGACACAAAGTTAAAAGGGTAGAATTGAAAAAAGAGATGTTGTTCAATGTTGTATAATTTGTATAATGCCCTAGGAAGGCCTTGTTTTATACAGTGCATTATGGTTGTCACCATGTTATGGAAAAGATATAACCAGGTAGGGGAATCTGGAAAAAGCCATGTTTAACCTTCTCCATCTCTGTTTGAAGTTGGTGACCACTTGTCTCTTTTATTCTACCTCTTAAAAATCAAAGGTTGTACTGCTATCTCTTGCCATTGCAAGGAAAGTAATATTAATAAGGAATAAGTAAAAACAGTGCTCAATGGCTCAGTTTATTAACAACACACTTAGACTGAAAAACCTAGCTACTCTTTAACAAATAGATGTAATGGTGAATTTTAGAGTGATTGGAAGCCATTGTTTAATGACATTGTTTAATGACATTTTCTTGGAAGGTGTTGGTCCTCTACTGCCTACATTTAAATATGTAACCGATGTTGAAGGTGGTTTCTAATCTATACTTAGTTATTTAGATTTCCTAATGGATATAGATATATATTTCCCTTCTGTATGACGTTTTATGTTTTGTGTGTTCTGAAATGTAAAAGACAATTGAAAAAAAAAACACGAATCCCGTCCTGTTGTTAAAGCCAACACTCTGTCTCCAATTGAGAAAAGAATGGATTAGATACTTATAGATTACTACTAACCACCAAATAGGTGAGGTGGGCCCAAAGGCTTCCTCTTATCTGTAACAACTCTTTTCTTATGTTTGCACAGTCCTGATTCGGCCCAATCCTTTTTAAGTTTCTTTGCATTTGCTACAGTTTGCCAAGTCTCCTGTTTTTGTCTCATCTGTGAACCCTGCAAATTTATGAACTATACAAGTTTTTTCTGTTCTCTTTTTCCAGTCTTCAAGACCAGTTTGTACTTGACTTTATCAGCCCAGGGAGACCCATTTTATCTCTAATGTATGTCCTTTTCTTAAAAAGAACTTGCTCGTGTGAATACAGCAGCAGCCCCGGCCTCAGTGCACACACATCATTAACAAACTGCATCTCTTGCTTGTGTATCAGCCCACTATGGGCTCTGCATTGGGACCTGTGTAGGTCCTATATATGGAAATAAGGGTTTTGCTCTTGTGTGTCTTCAGGTCTCAGTTCGTTACACTCACATGAACCCTGTCCTTAATCCCCTCACTTGATCCTAATAATACCTCAACCTTCTTGTCTGTAACTGTTCTTACGTTCTTATCTTGGCTGTATGACCTTATCTTGCAAGGTGACCATTGACATGCAGTTAGAGTCTCCTTACCAGTCTAGTGACAGCACAATTTATTTAGTCACTTAGTCCCATGGTGGTTTAAGAAAAATGTCAGGAACAGACATATTATGTGCTTTTTTGCTGCACAGAGTATCCTTTCATCGTACTGCTATCCTGCTCTAATTTACAGCCATGTTCTTATGCAGGACTTTCATTTACCTCTTGAACACGTTGCTCTCTGTCGAGAAACCCCTAACACCTCAGACCACTGAGCGACTACGCTATGTCTCCCAGATTTGCAAGGTCTGCACTAAACCATTTGTCTGAAGACACTGTAGTAACGTAAGTGCTGCTTACATACACAGCATGAATCAGAAAAGGTAATTGCTTTTCCATATTGTGAAGACACTAATGAACAAGGATAAAATGAGTCATTATATGAGGTATACAAATCAACAGGCAAGTGGATACAGAGGCAACCAAAATATAATGTGTATTCTATTGAAAGAGGAAGAACTTGGATCTAAAGCACTGGACATGCCCCTGGAGGGAGAAGCTACAGCCTTGGCTGCAGAGAAAACTTCCAGGAAATGTGATTACACACATTAATGTGTTCTGCAGCTTAATGACCTCTGTTCACATCTATTTCTGAGCACGTTTTTCTTTATTTCCTGCAAGCAGTTGTTAAGTTGTGTTAATCACAGGGATCTCCACAGGTTCCAGGGCCATTGTGAACTCAGTTGATCATTAAAAACCCAGCTCTCAGTCATGTCTCCCTTCCCCTCCTCCCTCCAGAGCACATTCTCATTGCTCTCAGTTCTGCTCATAATAGACGATATAATATACAATAACACATTCCAGCCACTGAATGAATACTTTACTACTGGAGACAAATGCTGCAGGCAGACAAGCAGACAGAAGGATCGATCTCACAAGGACCACATTTCAGAGCCAGTGTCAGAAGAGCAGCAGGCGTTGCTATGAATTCTATGGATGTGAACATGAGCTAACTCTGACTATGTCTCAACTCTAGAAAGCAGCAGCACCTCAAAAGACTTCTAGTCGTGCTTCCCCTCTGGAAAGTCAAAGTTAGTAATCATGAACAGCTGTTTCACTCTTATTAGGGCTTGCTAGTGCAATATTGCTAAGACTGACCAGTGTAACATGCTTATATATATCCCTGAAGAATGTTCCGCAGCCGAAACATTGTGTCTCTTTCGTCATGGAATAAACCTTTACCTGTTCCTTATATACAGTATATCTTACAAGGATAAGAATGCTTTCAAAATGATTATGTATTAATGAGCAAGCAGAAGCCTAGTAATTTAGTTAGAGAATCTCTATGATGGCAGGGCTTTTTCAATCTATTTAGCCTGTGTCTCTCATTCCTGGACCTATTCAGTGACAGAGCAACACTGACAGCTAACCTCACGGATAAACAGGACCCATCTCTTCTGTAAGAGGGTCAGGGCCAGCACTAGCAGTAGGCCAATGGGGGTGATGGTACTAAATCCAGGCAGGCTGCATTATACATGGTCTTGATGAGGACACTGCTAAAAGCCATGTGCTCAAGGAGGAACTTCTATCATATAGCATTACCCTCTTCAGTCCCAGAATCCAGTTTAACCGCTGTGTACAGTACATACAATACGTAGTGTAGCTCCTGTTCTTGAAAAGTCACAGTCCTGTTTTTTACAGCTACCTTAAAATCCACAAAGGCTGAAAGAATTGGAAATGCACGCAACATGTACAGAATCTATTGCCTCAATAATTTATCTGATGTATTCACCGAGAGCTCAGATGAAGACCAGAAGACTCTGCAACTCCACAGTACAGGCATGAGGATCTCTAATACAAATAACCTCAGCTTTAAATGGAATTTGAACTCAGGCCCAGCGTTTGAGGTCATTGTGTTTATTTGGGAAAATAAATATATTACATGGGAGACTTCAGGACTGAGGAGGACATACCAAGAGGAAGAAAAAAAATGCTGTCTTATAGCTACAGTACCATTATGCTTTACAGCCAGTGCCAATATATCAGTTTTACAGCCGAGCACCAGTGGGGCAAAGTGATTCCTCAGATGGAATTCACCTCCTTAAACATTCCATAAAAGTGCCGTTTATTGAGGAATTACTATTCCACCAGGTACCAGTGCGAGTGCAGTGAGTGGGGCCAGTGAACTGCCGCTTATAAAAGACTGAGTCACTGCCTGCCTGCTGTTTTGTTGTGCAAGGATGCACCTCTACTCCATTATCTCCCTCCATCCTGCCTGCCGCCCTCTTTAGTGTCCTTTCCTGCTGAGTCCACTGTGGACTGTCTTCCAGATTCCTCTAAACGAACACAAGACAACCATAGAAAGACTTTAGATAATCGTCAAATTTTGCCTTTATGAAAACAACATCAAGGCTGAAAACAGACAGAGATACAATAACACAGCTACCCATGAAATTGGACAGCTCTGGAGTCGAGGGTCTAAGTATTTTCTGGAGTGGTGCATTTGCATGCTTTTTCCAACCACTTAAAGAAAATGACACAAGGAAGCCTGCAGTCTATAATTCTAACTGATATTATCATCAAGGTTATAAGGGGAATATGTTGCTACCAATAATCTTTATGTAGTCTGACTTTCTTCAAACCTGAAGGTCACCAGAGGTCAGTAGCTGTGTGTGTTAGTCAGCCAGTTGTTCAGCGACAATTGCAGAGACCACACATACTGTATATGAGGCATCTATAAAACAATTTCATAATACACTCTTAACATTCTACTGGTATGGTGCATACTGCATAGTTGAGAAGTTTACATTGGGCGTTCAACAGGAATTACCGAAGTAATTTAAAATGTTAATATTTTATTTTTTAAAACCCAATAAAAAGCCGGGTGATCTCTAAATGGAAGGGAATTACTCAGATCATATACAATTCAAACCAACGGATATGTCTGAACGTTCATGAATGTCAGCGGCTTTCAGATTTTGAATCATTGTGAAATTAAGTAGAAGGATGCTCTCTGCATCGCTGTGCGGGTCTCTTGATCTTGTCACAGGGACATTAATTGGGATTAAGACGGGCCTCTTATCAAGTCGTCCCGCTCGCTCTCCCCGTCATCGGCAGACAGCAGTATCAACCAGGTTGTTCCCCTCGTTTGCTGGAAACAGCGTCAGCGTGTCTCCCAGGGGATGAAAGAGCCTTAGGCGCCCTTCTCTCATTTCCCCCTCGCCTTACCAGTGCTGGTTTGCCAGGTGGAGTCTGGAAGCGATATCCGTGTGCTGTTTCTCTCCGTCATTAGTGTGGCGCTTCCACTCAGATGCGGTGTTGCTGATCTGAGCTTCCGAGGGCAGCCTGGGCTGGCAGGCATTAGTAATTCCACAGCACGTCTGCGTGCATCCCTGCGGTCTGTACCAGGCACCCTCTCCTCCCCTTGATGAATGCCTCCCTAACAGTTTTCTGTCTGAAATGTGCGCATGATTGCAATATAGATTTGCAGCCAATATTAATAATTGAAAAACCATGGCGTGGTGTTCATTTCCCGACACAATAATGAACTGTGGAGGCAGCCGTGATGCATGGGGAGGTGACCCCAGGATACCGCAGCTACGACACCCCGAGTGACAGATTGCAATCCAGCTAATGGGCCTCATCATTAGACCGGCACGGACTCCTGTTGTATTCAGCAGGCGGGTATCGGCACTGCGCCGCGGAGAGAGAGGGGAGGGATGGGACTCTGGCTGGCTCCCAAGACACCCGAACGTTTTCTTCCTGCATTTCCTACTGCTGAGAAAACCGGGAGAGAAATAGCGCAGCTCTGTCAGTAAAGGTTTTAAAGATCTCTTGCCGGCAATCCTAACTATACACCTTTTCTTCGACGTAATTTTGCACTTTCAACACCTCTCAGCAAAGTGCTTGGGTTCCACCCAGTCCACAAAAAAAGTGACTTAAGCGTGATGAGTTCATCAATAACAATTAGCCAATAAAATAATTCGATGTTCGAGACAATCAACAGATGAATGAATCGACCAATCGATCAACCTCCGTGCGTCGAGTGCGTCTGCTCTCTGCTCCCTGATGTCCCCTGCTTGAGAAGCGGCTCTCTTCGAGATACAGACCAATGTGTTAAGAAGAGGATGCAGACGGTTTAATGGAGTGCTGTGAGAGAACTCAGAGGCTTAAGAACAGACAAGATTAAACTTGACAACATTTGAGAGGAATGCATCGCAGCCTGTAATATATCACCCCCTGATCAATGACGTGCGTTTACCAATATTATGCCTATGTAATCTCAGATTAAGACGAAGAACTGGTTTGTCCTTATTTCTCCCATGGCTCAGCTGAAGCAGGCAGGTGTTTCAAGAGGGAGAGAAACCGTCATATTCAGACACGTTTGCAGTTTGTTGAACCCAGTTGCCTTTATACTCCCGGTCCTAAGACACTTTTTAATGGGTTTTAGCAGGCACACGCGTAACCATCTATAGAGGTGGAAAATGTCATACACACACGTGAAATGCAACGCAACACCCAGCGGTTAGACGAAAAACGGAGGAGACTTTATACGGACAACTGTGCGGCACCATGTTGTCTTTTATTAAATACTGTTTGCTTTTTTAATACTTTGAGACAAAACTAAAAAAAAGAGCAAAATCCATGAGAAGTTTCAGTTTGGTTGCAGTATCAAGAGTCTTACTATTATTATTATTATGATGATGATGATGATTAAAATTCATCATTTCTTCTGAACTGTCTTTGCTAAAAATCTAACGTGACAAATTTCTGTCAAGACTTAGTCACTGACGGTCAGTCCAAGCAGTTATTTATCCCCACCTATATAGGGGGATCTGCGTTCTGATTGATCTATCCTCCTGTCAATCAACAAGCTGCTTGGGCGGGCGTGGTGTCTCCAGGGTTGACCTCCTCTGCCGTGATTGGTTCCTCAGTTCCTCCTTTCCTGTAGTTGATTGGCGGAGACTGCGACCCGCACCTCTCGCGGTGTCTCGCGTTAGCGGCGGAGTGCAGGCAGAACTGTGGCTCCGCGGTTGTGATCCGAAGATGATGTTTCTGTGGAGACCCGAGCACCTCTCTCTGCACGCCGCTGAAGGAGAAGCACTCTTCTGCTGAGAGACGGCTAATGAGAGGCCTCGCTAGGACCGAACAGTATTTAATATCCTACGCAACACTGAACAGGACGCATCTCGACTGAACAGTGCACAGGTGGGTATGAGGGGTAGACTTCTGCAGTTATAAATATGCCTTTATTTGTGGCTGGAGAGTTAGAATACAACATTGCCTTGGATGAACAGCATAGTGATTGCTGCCTTCTCTGTGCTGGCTGTAATACGGTTTCAGCTGTCTTGTGCTTTTTGGGTATTTTACATTTAATTTCACAGTAGTTACGTGGAAGCGTACGGACTTTTCTGAAGCCTTTAATCTCTAAAAGGTTAAGGGGGCAGCGTGCTTCATTGAGATAAATAGGTTTTAACATATAACACATGACACAGAATCCGCTATCTTTTAAAATAAAGTGCCGTTGTTATATTTAGAATTCTTGGATTAATCCGATTTATTACCATTGCTAATAAAAAACCCATCCTGAATATGTTTGGGTATAACACACCAGCTAAAAAATCTGAACTCGATACATTACAAGACCTGTCAGATAGAGTTCCTGCTGTCTCTGAGCAGGATACTGCGAACAGTGTTTCTTTAACTGGTTTTGTTGACTGTCCCAGTCTTTATATTGCGGAATTCTCTAAATCGCCGAACGCCGTTCGTAAGACAGACTAGAAGGATGTGGCTTTGCTACTTGAACAAGCTGCACGCCTTGCAAGTTGCTCAATACGCTACGTTAATAAATTTGTCCACTTACTCTGCAATGTTATTGTTTTGCAAATGCTATGTAGGTTTAGATAAGCAGTACACTCGGTGACACGGTTTTGCATTTTCACTCGCTGGTTTGCTGGATTTTGTCTAAACGGAGCTAAACAGCATCTGTCGCTCACAGGAGTCTCTCTAAAAGTGTTTTCATTGAGCTGCTGAGGCGCGCCGTCGGGCAACTCTTTGGAGTGTGCCAAAAGCACACCACAGCCTCGGTTCAAAGAAGATTTTTTTTTTCTTTTAAGTTTGAAACATTTGGATCACCAAGGTCGTCAATGTGTACCTGCGGTTTCTCGGAGACAAAAAGAGTTTTGCAACGCGTCAAATGAACTGTGTAAATAGTGCCAGCCTGAGTTGATCTCTGTTCTCCTACAGTATGTGCAGATGTCTGGGCGTTGGCATTTGGGTCTGATCTGTGTCACAGTCCACGGCCGTGATGGTAAAATAGAGCTGTTATTTTTTCATCCAAGGGCTGTGCTATGTGAAGTATAAAAAAGGCAGATTTTTTTTCTTGTTTAAGTACTCACTGATGTTATCGGGGATTCTTTTTTTTTGTTTGTTTGAGTAGGGCTGACCTCTACCTCTCCTGACCAGCAGTTTTAAGATACCCACCCAGTCTCAAACTGCACTGCAAATTACACAGTATTCACATCACGCAGACTGGTAGCTGTTTTTAGAACTAATACATCTTTTGCACAGACTAAGCTTGTTGTGTTTGTGTGTGTGCCACAAGGCCGAAATTAACATCACCTATCACACTCCTGTAACCTGCTTCGACTATCACAGCTCTTTCAAACTTCAAGATATGGCAGTATTCCCTGTTGAGACCCCCGCTTTGCAATGGTGTTTGATCTGTTTCCTGTTTTAAGAGCTGCCAGCCCTTCAACAAGCAAAAACAAGATGCCGGATATTTCAAGGTTGTTCCCTTTGTGCAGAGTGAATTTGCATGGAATTGCATTGCTTTGCTGTAGATCTCATGCAATCTGTGCAAGTGTATACAAGCGGGGAATCCTGGTTTGCTGTGTAAACTGCCACGTTTCCCTGTCATTCAAAAACTGCAGCGGAGTAGATGTCACCGGGGTATGGCCGTGGTGATCTGTGCAGGTTGCAGGTCACAGATGTTTTGTATGAAGCATCCAGAGCTGTTGCATGGATGCGTCTGTGAGAAAATACCACAATGACTATGATATCAGGCTGCCTGTGTGCCTCATTGAGAATAGCCCACTTCCCTGCTATCCTAATAATGTGGTGAAGTGCATCAGACAATAAAATTGGATTCTCTTTTTTCATTACATCCAGTGTTACTGTAAAGTGACAAGAAAAATGGTCTTCAGTTCCCTCCTTGACTTGGCTGCTGGCGATCAATAAAGAAATCTGAATGCCACAGTCTCCATTTCTTCAGTCTGTTTTTTTTTTCTCCTGTGCTGCAGTTGGTTTTGATTTTTTTATGATTCTTTGAAAAGTCAGTAATTTGAAGACTTCCCCTCTTTCATTTAAACACGGTGTAGTAGAGACCGCTGGCTCAATGAGGTGGTGAACACAGTGGCATAACAGGACCGAGGCGATTCTCTACGTTCAAAGGAGTTGTGTTGCATTGTGAACTGATGGGCATAAAGGAAGCAGCCCTGTTTTTCTCATAGTGACAGAGAACACGTAATAGTACATAACGTGATTTTTGGTCAGTGCATGCTCATGCTTTCTCATTTAAGGAGGTCGTACTGTAAAGTACATCCATCCATTTTCTAACTTTATCCGGGGTTGTGTGGGTGTGGGAGCCTAACCCGACAAGCAAGGCAGGATGAAAAAAGCATTCTTTCTGAGAAATGTGTGTAAACATGGAAAAATGTTTAGTCCACCCACAGTGATGCCAAGTTAAAGTGTTTCACAGAGCTAGAGCCTCTAATATACTGCTTTCTGTAATAGTAAGTGAACTGGTAGATGAAGATTCCCCTGTCAATAATAGGTCAGGCCCCTAGTGTGTGGAGCATCATTACTCATTACATACTCATTTACAGAGGTGGGTGGACTGGGGCGATCAGGTTTAACTGCCTTGCCCAAGGACAGAATAGTAATATATATTTATATTGGATACTTGATCTTAAAACTCTCAGGTCATGGTTTCTAGAGCGCCACTTGTTATGCTCAGAAATACTCAGTATTGATGCATAATGGCACTACTGTACTTTCCAGCTTGAAAACTGAACGGGTATGTGGTAGTCTTGTTGCAAAGGTCTTGCAAGTGTTGCACCCCATTGTATAGTGGACCTGCACTCTGAAAGCTTTAGGTGGAGGTTGACAAGAGCAAATCTAGGTGCTGTAGTGAGTGTGTGAGCCAGCTGCTACATGTTTCCTCTTTCCGGCAAACATGTGCATACCTGTTGTAATTGGGTCTGGTTTTCTGTGCTTGTCTGAACATGTTTTGGCTTGTTCTATCTTTGGCTTATGCTATTGGGGATTTAGACATAAGGATACGTCAGGTTGACATGGTTTTTAATAGTCACTTCCTGAATCTAAATTTTAAATGTCTTTGAACTGTTTAATGTTTTTTTTGTCAGATAAGAAGGTGTCAAGATGGGGCTCTGAGGATTGCTTACTAGGCAGCTGGCGTGGCAGTTGATGGCTGGGAAAATAGTGGCTGTCTGCTTGTGTTATCTTGCCAGTCGGCTGTGGATTTTAACTGCGTCTCTTAGATTTGTGGAAGAAAAATGCACCAACCAGCCAGTGTTCTGAAGACGAGTGCTCATAAAGTTGAGGAATGATAACATTTTCCTGATTTAATCTCTTAAGCAGCGTATTATCAACTTAGACACCCTGTTGAGCCTTTAATTAGCCATGCAATGCGATTGCTACGAGGTTCATAACATCAATTAAATAATGGGCCTTGCAGATAGATTTTTTTGGCACACTTTGTTAATGAATCTTTCTGTTCTTGAACTTCTAATGTGGTGGCAAGATTAAGTTAGTATGACGCTAATGTGTCTTTGCAGGCAAACTCTGTGGGTATTTACAGCGCTCCCTTCATGCATGTTTCTGAAGGTGCTGGGTGACGCAGTTGAGTGTGTACGACTGGTTGAAGCGTGCTTGGCGCTGGCAGGCAGGGGGGCTGTCTCAGGCAGGGAGAGGCTGCTGAAAGAGGGCTTGAATTCATTTCAATGAGATGAAGAAAAATGACCTGCCCCTTGGCCATCAATGGGAGAAATCCGCCTTCAGCAAGAGGATTCTTTTCATCTCACTTTAAAGCATTCTGATGTGAAGGTCACCTTACAAAAGCCATTCTTTTATTTGCAATTGAAGACTTTAGCTTTTTAAAATGTTTTTTTTTTAAACATTTTGTGCCTATAACACTGGCCTTGCAACAGTCTTAATTAACTGTGTCCCCTGAATAAAAGATTTTAATCTTAATTTCAAAATTTGTGCTTTAACCTATGGGTAGTATATCATTACTCATAGGGATTTAAGAGATGGGAACCTAAATGCATCTCAAATCTGAATATGCAGACATCAGTTTAAATTAGCAGCCTGCAGTGCAGTTAATTTAACGATAAAGTTCTGTTTTTCAAAAAGCATTTCTGTGCTTTCACAAGAGCCAGAAATGGACACTTGTGTTTTGAAAGGCAAGGCTGTTTGGAAATTGAGGACAGGAGAGATATAATTACATTCTGATAATGATGGTCCCAACCCTTTTTCCATACTGGGAACATTTCAGTAGCTAAGGTGTCATGACACACTTCTCACGTACAGTACAATACTCTCTCCTGTTGATTGGTGTGATGGCCTTTTTTTATTTGCACCATCCTGGAATAGAATTCTCCCCGAAAGCTGGAAGTGTCAAGGAGAAATCAGACTGCATCTTCCTGGTTTGATTATAGGTCCGTCTTTGAGTGATTTGGCGGAAACTTGGGAGTTCAGTTTGTCAGTTCTGGAAATATTTTGCTGCTCAGGCAAACCTGACAGCACTATGTTGCATGTAGAGGCATATATAAGCGGGCAGAGTAGCAGACTTTTAGCAAAGGCATGTTTAAAGCTTTAGAATAGAAACTTTCTATGTGCACTGCCTTCATGGTGTTGCTAAACGTTCTCAAGATTAGCCCTGGGAGTTTGTGACACAGTGGCTTCAGTTACAGTCTTGGGATCTGAATGTTATCTCTTTGTTCAGTCTAGCGTGGCAATGTCTTTTGAAGTGTATACAGTCTTAATCTAGGGGCGATTACGCCAACAGGTCTGTGCTGCGCTGACATGCTGGGCGTGGTGCTGCGTGGTGCTCTGCTGCTGTCCGTGCTGTTTCTGGGCTGCCCCGCCACGGGAGCCAGTACTTAAGATATGGTTTGGTGGAAGCT